AGCTTCAAATAAATATTTCTAATAAACTTAAATCAATAATAAAATACATACTTAATATAATGTTTAGTAAATTTTCTACTTGTATTACACCCAAAAATACAAATTCTTAAGGGGAACTCTCCTCTTTCACGATCCAAGATTTTTAATTTTTTTTTCTTTCATTTTTTGTGTTTGGTATATAGATTTAGATGCCCTCTATCTAATGAGCACATTTTAAGAAGGTAAAACCACCTTTTTGTATATGAAAAACTCGCAAAAAAAAACTCAGTTTTATGCTAAAAAAGCCAAAAAATGCATCTTTCTTTGCGTTTTTCTGAAAACCAGATTTTTAAGGAGAAAATTGGAGTTTTCCCCCCTTTTCTCCTAAATGGTAAGACCGATTGGACTCAAACTTTTTTTATGAGTTCTTCAATCGAGTTGAGGTGTGTGTTTTTTTTCTCTTGAAAACATTGTACCTATGAAGTTTGGCAGGCTTTATAAAATTCGCATCATCTGAAAAAAAAACTTTTTTTATGGTTTTTTGATAGTGCCTCCAGTGTTTAGCTTCTCCTGAGTCTCAGGAACAATATTTTTCAAAGAAAAAGAAAATATGCACCCAGATTTGTTCCTAGTTGCTGCAGAAAAAAATTCAGCCCAAAAGAACGTAGTATGGTCGTTTGCTGGGGAGAAAACTTCAAGCCATTTTTGGCCCTTGGCATCCCAAAATCTCCCCGAAGAAAGCATTTGAAAATTCTGAGTCTATGACAACCTTTATTCTACTCATCGAGATCTATCTACCTTGAAAGTTTCAAAAAATTTCGCCTAACCGTTCTCGAGAAACATCGGAAAGAGGGGCCCTCAAATAATTTCATTTTTTATTTTCAACTTTGTTTTTACCATATAAAGTTCCAATTTCTTGTAAAACTGATATAATGCGTGTTTCAAATTCATCACGACAACATTTGTCAGCTGAAATATATTACATTGAATTATGAATATTCCTACTTGTATAATTTCAATTTTAGAATTTTTCTTTTATCATAATTTTTTAACATCTTTATAGCACTCGTTAAATCTTCTATGGATTGGCATTCATCTGTAAAGTGTAAAATGAATCTTACCAACTAATTTTTTCCATATTTGATGTAATTACACGTTCTGATAATGTATTAAGAACATGTTTTCGAACAAAACTCGAATACATTTAGTCGACGACAATAATTTCGCCCGCTGACTATATTGCTTATTTTATGCTTTATACGGACATTAAAAAAAGATAATATTATTATCACGTATAGTGTTCTCACATACATCGTTACTCATATTCAGCTTTTTTATTTCTTTAAGTTTTTTGTTTCAAATTGATTAAATACTAAAATCATTAAAAAATTAGTTGATGAAAATAGTTTCGTCTCTGTTGAGATGAATATTTTATTTTATTTCAATGAACAAAATTATAGTACAATATGTATGTATAGAGAGGAAAATTATAGACATTTAATATATTCATAGTGTTTTGTTAGTTGCTTGCTTCTTCTTTGAGTAAAGTAGAAACATGTGAAATGCACCCTTGGATGACCTTTTGTGAAATGAGATGGCACGCTTGATCAACTGCCGCTTCCAGCTCCGCTTGACTTTTTGGCTGTGCTGTTTTGACTGTTTCTTTGAGTGAGTGCCAAACATTTTCAATTGCATTGAACTCAGGCGAATGAGGTGGCCAATCTAATAACTTTAGTCCATGATCATTGAACCATTGGCGAACTGGTTTTGTCCAATGTGATCTTAATTTATCTTGAGCCACCGCATACCGACGACATTTATGTACATGTGGACCAAGATGAGAAGCAAATAATTGTTGATATAAGGTTTGATTGATATAGCCATCATATCTTGCGAACGTTTTGCCATTCCACCAAACTGCACCCCATAAGTTGACATAAGCACGAAGAGAAGAGATTTCATGTACAGGCGTTGGTTCCCCACGCTTTACCCAAACGATTTTACCTGTGTTACGCAATTGGACTTGTGTCTCGTCAATGAAAATCCATTTTTTGAGGTCACTATTCTGATGTTCCACTGCAAATAAATGGCGTTTTTCGAATTGAGTTTGTGTTGACTTGACTTTGGTTTGTTGTTTTCGTGGATAAAATCCAAGAGCTCGTCGATAGCGTTGTAATGTACGTTCACTAACTCGAATACCGAACTTGTTAAAGATATAGTTTGAAAGTTGATTAGAAGTTGCAGTCGGATTTTTTTAGATGTACTTGTCAAGTGACCGTTGTTGTTCTTCAGTAAGAGAAGGTGGTCGATCTGGTCTTTCTCGTTCAGTCAATAATCCTGTTTCATTGAAGCGAGCGACAGCACGAGAAACGGTTCGACGATCGCAATCCAGATGATGTGCAATTGTACTGAATGTCTTGTTTGGCTTTTGTGCTTCTTTCACTGCATATAAACATTCTTCACGTGTCAAATTTCACATTTTTTAATGGATTTTAGTATTTAATCAATTTGAAATAAAAGAATTAAAGAAATAAAAAAGCTAAATATGAGTAACGATGTATGTGAGAACACTATACGTGATAATAATATTATCTTTTTTTAATGTTCTTATAAAGCATAAAATAAGCAATATAGTCAGCGGGTGAAATTTTTGTCGTCGACTAATTTATAGAATTTCTTCTTATTTTTTATAACATTTATTAGACATTAGAATCAATTGAAAAAAAACGTCCAATACCAAAATTATTTGAAATTAGTAAGATTTTTCTCGCAAAATTTTCTTATTTCTCTAAATCTAATTTTATGTTTTTTATATGGATCTTAATAATAAACCAAAGTATATTTCATTAAAATTCAGTATTGTTCTTTTTGTATAATATTTCTCTTAAAAATCTAGAGAAGCATTTGTTGAACCACCACCCGTATCTAATATTAATCACGAAGAAAATAATAATTCACAACAAAATCCAACTATTGAAAATCAAGTGATCACAACTGAAGAGTAACAAAAAAACAAAACTTCATTTATTTTATTTTATTCTTAAGTTCATTATTTTAGAATTATAATTGAACGTCCAATGTCTGTTCGAATAATAAAACAAAAACAAGAGCAACAAAATAAAGATTTAACAACTAATGAAACAATTTCTTCATCACCTGTTCTTATTGAATCAACACTTTTTCTTATGCCTGATCAATCACAACCACCAATTTCATCTGTTGACCAGCAACAACAACAACAATCATTTACTACATCAACAAAAGTCCATGATTTTGAACATTCATCATCGACTTCTCGACGAACAACAACAAATCGTATGCATGTACCAGTACATAATGCATCACAATGGTTTAATGGACCTAATATGCAAAATGAACGATCAGATCGAATGGAAAAAATTATTTCTTCACTTGTTCGACGATCATTCCGACCAATATCTGATAATACGTACGTTAAATCAATGCCATTTTTTTTATTTTAAAATTGTATGTTATAGGATGCCACATGTACCTACATTAACTTCACCATCATCAAAAGAACATGCTCTGTCTAAAGGTAGTTATTAGGAGAAATATCTTCCAAGTTCATAAATACAATCTCAGAACTTTTTGAGAAATCTTCAATCTAAATTACTACTTCCGAGAAGTCACTGAAAGTATTGAAAATCAGTCATATTTGACATAGTAATTTTGTTTGTAGTTTTTATTAATAATTTTGACGAGTAAAATATTTTTTCAGAATTTTAATTTGAAAAAATCAAGATACTTTCTCGAATTACTGCACATCACGGAAAAACTAGTCCGTAGCAGTCAATAGTTCCTCGAATCTAGATTTCACTTTTTTTTTTTTTTTTACTAACAACGAAATGGTCTACGGCTTCTAATGAATTATAAATATTCTACAAAAAATCCTTGTCTGCGCAGCCCTGCACATGTCTGCTTCAGCTTCACTATACTAGTATGGAATGTGTTAAGTGAAAAAATCCCTAGCAGACTATGGTTGTTTTCCAAGGATAATTGATCACAAGAGAAACGATGTGTCTTATTTAGTTCTGCATTTCGAACAGAATTTTATTCTTTTACCTGCGCTCTATTATTTATTTGCTTTTGTTACTATTTTCTTAAACTACTATTATTATTATTACTATTCTAACCATTAATTTAACTGGCAAATAAGCTTGTTGTACACATCTATTATATCTACAACTGCTCTCAACATGCTATTATATATCTTAATAATCTCAGAAACACAAACACTGGCATTGATTATTTCCGAAAACTATAACTTTGGAATCTTCTCGAACTGCCTAAGCGTTTGTTGTTAATACCCTTCAGGGCTTTTATGCCATTGCTAAAGAACTATTAAAAAAAAGAGTCTGATGCCTGTTGTCCTTGGTTATTCAGGAAAAGTGTCCACTGATCATTGATCTATATCCTCACCGTTACGATTTGACTCGGATTACTATGATGATTTTTGCTAATGCACCAATCTGATAAAGCTCGTATCTAAATGCTGTCTCTTGACAGTTTCTTTTGAACTTAAATTTATTTGTACCTATTATCTTAATAATTTGTTTAGGTGTTCGACCAGGTACATTACAAGATTTTTGTATTGAAAGTCAGCGAATGGTACCAACTCCATTTATGTTCAATCGACAATCACAATCAACTAAAAATCGATAGTAAGAATTCTGAAACTGAAATTAACAGAATAAAAAAAAAATTCAAATTTTAGTACACCATCAACACGTTCATATGACTTAAGCCGTTCAAATGAAGGTGAATTTCATATTAACAACAAGAATATGATAATAAATTGCTTCAAATAAATAAATTATTTTCTTTTTAATTTAAATAAAATATTTTTTTTTGCTTCTTTTACTTTTATCAAACAGGAAGACCTTTTTTTTTTGTCAAATATCCTAAACTTGTGTTAACCATACAAAAAAGTAATAATAGATAAAAATTTCTTTTTTATTCAAGTTCTTTTTGTTCATTTTCAAGTTCTTTTTGTGCATTTTCGAGTTCTTTTTGTGCATTTCTTGCTTTTATCTTTGATAAATTTGTGAAATCAAAATTTTCACAAATCTTAGCACGTTTTGCGCATTTAGGATGATAGTACTAAAATACAAAAGAAATTCTAACCTTGAGAAGCTATCTATGTCAATTGGACTTACGTTTTTTCCATACATAACATATGGAGTTCCAGAAACCATTCGTCGATCGAGAAGTGACGCTGTTTCTTTACATCTTTCACAAGTATGCATTTGTGTATCTGTATGAACAACTAACTAAAATGAATTGAAAAAATCTAATATTATCTGTGGATAAATCCTTTGAGAGGAAAGATCTTTTATATATCTATCCTTAATTTAAAATGAAGGTTCATTAACAAAACCTATTTTAATTCTTTTTTCTGAAAACGTTTAACTCAATTGTGACTATTCATGTCTTTAGTTCCTTCGTTTTCTGAGATCCATTCTTATCGACATAAAAAACAATAATGACAATATAAAGATTGTTTTTTCTTGAACAAAAAAAAAACATACCATATCGGTAAGAAAATCAATTTTACCACTGGCAGTTCCAGAACAAACATCAATATTCTTTTCAATAGAATCTTCATTATGTTCAGGATGAGTACATTGTGTAGTAGGATGTTCAACTTTATAATCATAAAAATTGCCAAATTTATAACCAGTTTGATTTCCATGAAAATCCTGCTTTTGTTGAATATTACCACGACTATTATTAAATTCATCTGTATCATAAAAAAACTAATTGAAATCAATCACTATTTCTTAAATTATTAAAATCTTTACCAGATTCCTGACTACTATATCGTGTAACATGTTCATTTTTTTTTATGAATTTCATCAGTGTGAACATCTTTAGAATCAATATCCTGAGCAAAAATAATCACGTTGTCTGCAAAAAAAAAAGAAAACATCGAATGATAGATTTATATATATATATATTCCTGTTAGCGTGGCTTTTAATACGAAAATATGCAAAAGTTTACCAAAATTAAATGATTGACCATTAAAACAAGTAGCTCGAACATTGTGTAGAGTTTGATGAAAATCTTTATTATTCGTTTATACTGTCCAATAAAATGATTGATTATCGAATGCCAAAAACAATAAAAGAAGAGCTATCTGTAATTTCATAGAATCAGTGAATATTGATCTGAAAAAATAAATATTTAAATTACTTTCGATAAATACTGTTTTTCAGCCATAAAGTCAGTACGTTTGTATTTGATCAGATTTGTTGTATATTCTACAAAAAATAACATTAAAGAAAACGAGAATTGATTAATCGAAGAACATACTTGTCGCGTATTGCTCAATAAATAACATTTTTTGTTGAGCATCTCCTACTTCTTGTAAAACATTACCTTTATTTGCTTCACTAAAAAAATAGAAAACATTTTAACAATTTGTCTATATTTTTTTATATAATCGACTTACATTATTTTAATCATTTCGAACAGATCATTACTGTCCAATTGTGCTAAATCAGTTAATGAACGTTGAGGCAGTAATAAATTGATCTATATAAAGAAAAAAACTCCGAATATTGTCGAATGTCAGTGTATATGACTCACTGCGAAAATGATTACTTCTTCGTTCATTATAATCAGGTTTTTATACACAATTATTTTCAATGAAAATCTAAAATAGAAAACAAATGATTTCATTGTTAATCAATTTTAATTGCGATGATCATAAAACAGGTGTTTTTTAATTCTCAAATTAGTAAAATAAATTTAAATAACAAACCAAATAAAATTTTATTGATTACATTAATTGAAATAGTCATTATTTCATTTGGATAAATATTTTCTGATAAACTTTTTATTTATGAAGATTTATATTCATTGTTATATTAGTTAATTGATAAGTAACATTGAGGCAGTTGATCAAAAAATTCATAGCTTATATTAATTGTTAATATTTGATAATATACAAAGGCAATTTGTTTAACATTTTTAGAAGAAAATGACACGTATATCAATTAACAACAAAAACTAGATCATTTAATTAAAATAAAATTAATATACATTATTATTTTTTTCAAGTTAAAAAACAATTTTTCTTATTAAAAAGAGAAAGTTTAACTTGTTCATTCGATTGTAGAGAAGCATTATTTAATAAGACTTAACATTTAATTTGATGTTTAATCTAATTATTGACTTTAATATCATAAACTATAAGACGATAAGAACTAGTATCGATTTGTACAACATCAGACATTTAACATAGAAAATCAAACAGTAGATAAATAAATATGTATAAATAAAGTTAGTAAAAAAAAAACCGTTTTTACTAAAATTTGTATATTGAATATTTTCCAATAAATTATTATCTGGTTTTGATTGAGCCACAGTTAAATTATTTGATGTTGATGTTAGACAAAGACGAATACTTTATTAATTCATGTGAATACATTTGCTTATCCTTATTTTTTCTATATGATATGTTAATCGATCGTGTTATCGATTTATATGCACGAACAAGATGGACTAATGTTATTCTTTTTTTTTTCTTTATTATCTACAACATTGCACATGGATCATTTTTTGTTTCTTTCGTTCTTTGTAGAAACACTTTCTTTTAACATAATACATTGGACGTTATTGATAAACTAAACTTGATTCAGAATAAAATGAAAATACACATAATTTATGCATTGACAGGTAAATAAATAGATCGAAGCGAGATATATCTACAATCCACAAATTGACAATACAACGAAAATCAAGGAATTTTAGAATTCCCTGAATATCTTGATTTTGATGATAGTCTAAAGGTATATGTCAGTGACTTCCGGATATATCTCATTTATACAGCATTGGTCCGTTAATCAATGCCGGTGATTTAATCTACATGATACGGTCACTTTAAACATGCCTGTTACAAATGAAAATAGATGGGAGTGCCCACAATAGTCCAAAACTGGTACGATATGGTGTTTTGTAGACGCTTTAACCCTTTGGGGACGGGTTTTTTTTCTGCATATTTCATCATAAATCAATTAACGTTTCTATTTTCTAAAAGAATCTATTATCCATTACTGGATATCTGAATAAAATAACCTAATTACAATCCAAATTATACCAAAAAACTCTCTGATAAATGCTTTCATAAAAACTAATCTCATATAGGAATCTATGTGTTTTGAAATGCTAGAGAATCACCATGGCCCCTTCAGGGACCAACCGCCCTCAAAGGGTTAAAAAAGATAATTGCACTTTGTCAAAATTCGCAGTCAAACGATGTTTTCCTAGGATGACATTATGAGGAAACATAAAAATTTTTCGCTTGGCGAAAAGTTTTTAAAATCTGCATAAACGTACTCTACCTAAAGAAATTTATACAATCTCTTTTATCTGATATTTAGTAGATCTTATTTTGTAAGGAGTTTCATTTCTAAAAAAATCGTAGCTAGTGTATCCGCCTACAGTAAGGAAGATCTTACGAAGTATCCTAAAATGTAAACGACAACACTTTTTCTTTCGGAAAATCTAAAAAGAAAACGATGATTTTCTCACGAATATCGAAAAAGTGTTCCGTTGGCTACGATAAAGTAAATGCACAAGCCTATTCGGTCTAACAATCTTTAACCATTGGTATTGTCCATTTTTATTTTGAGCACTTGTTCAAAGTGTGAACATGTTCACGACAAAATTCGATTCAGAAGTGATTTTTTTTTCTTGAATTTCTTTTTTTTTAAACTGATATTGCCATTACAGCTGCCTTCGGTAAAAAAAAGGTTTAAGGCATTGCTTTCTGTTAGCTCCGACTACTTTTCTTTCTAAAAGCCTTATGCAGCAAAATGAAAAATACAAAATAATTCTTGTTGATTAAACTTGTATGTAGCTCATAATGAGTAGTTTATTGCAATCGTAGTGACTAGATAATATTTAAAATATTCTCCATCGTGCTTTGAAAGACAGTTATCAAGTACTCGGTTATGCCATAATTGCCATACAGTAACTATGTTTTAGACAGACACAAATAAATTTTAGTGTCTAGAGCCTAACCTTTCAGTCAATCTAGGGAATTCATTTTTTCAGTAAAACCTTTTCTTGGATGACGTGACTTAACGGTCAATTTTTTAATAATATTTAATAAAAAGAATCAATAACAATAATAATTGTGAATCTCTTTACAAAAAAGTATTTGATTAATTCGATCATAATTGAAAATAGTTTTTGTATTAATTAAAGCCACACAATGAGTCCACAACCATCATTTTCAATTGAGTAATAAAATTGTTTGTTAAAAGATAACCGAAGAATGCAATGACATAATTGTTTAATAAATTTAATATGGTCATTAAACACGGAACTAATATCGAAGTCATGCGATGAGCTGGATTTTCTTCGAAAGCAAAATCCAAAATCAGTAAGTAAAGATGCTGCCTCTGCAATTCTTTGACAACTTCTTTGATCAACAGTTTTTGGCAGGTCATACATAAATATACGTAATGAACTCAATTGTGGTAACCGTGAACATGAATGAAAAACCACTGGCCAGTTTGGTATCATATAGTTAGGATGATAATAAAAAAGTAGAATACGAATAGAACGAATCGTTGCTGGAAAAAAAGAACTCTTGTTCAGACAATTGATACTATTCACAAGAGTTAGATTGCGAAGAGCAAAGAAATCTATTCTAATAGAACTGTTATAATAGGATATATGAAATGTATCAATACGATTGGATTGTATCAAATGAGGTAAAGAACGTATAGATGATGCCAAATTGTAACCAGATCCATCGAGACTACGGAGAGATGATTCGCCATTAATCGTAGTATTTTGAGAAGGTATTTTAAATACTTGTATTTTCGTGATCCATTTGTGAGGAAGATATTCGTGAAAAAATTCATCAAATACCCACGGAAGAGTATACCACATATGATGATACTCTTTACGTCCATAACTCTACAAATATAAACAATACATTAACATATTAGATTACCAATTAAAAAACAAAGATTTCTTTTTCCTTCATATTATTTTGAAATGAAATACTAAAAGTGACTTACAAAAGGATCACCATCAATGAGCCATTGTGATCTATCACACCAGTGATTAACAACGAATGTTGCACCAACAATTTCTCGTCTATGATATTGATTACCACATGGTATATATTGTGTAATATTGACATATTGAGGACAATTTATAATTTTAAAAGCAAAATTAACATCAACATGACGATCAGTAAAAATTGATGATGAATTAATTCGATGTAAATCATCAATATTGATAAAAAGAGATATATTAGCACGTTGAAGAACAGGCATTATTTTTGAAGATATTAAAATTTCGAAAAATCTCCATTTAATGGTAAACTCTGAGAAAAATGTTTGAACAAGAGTAAATATTCGTAAATTAACCATTGGAATCGATGGGTTAGGCGTTGATAAAGAATCACAACAATTGTAACTTAATCTAACATGTAATTGACGTAATGTCTTTGAGAGTGGTGGTGTAGACATAAGATGAACTAAAATATCTGTACTTGGCAAACAAATACGTATATATGTTAGAGGAACAATTTTAGTAGTAATTGGCCAACGTGTATTGTAATATTCCATGCCCAAATCGAGAGATCGAAGTGCAGGTAAATGAATAAGAAGAATATTTTTTATTAGCGGCGTCATGTCACCTGTTGGATGTTCGAATTTCATCGAAAAACCATCCTGAAAAAGAAATAGTACTATAGAAATAAAAACTGAATTATGAATGAAGACTAATCTTAACTAATTTTTCTTTTGATGGTTAAGATTCAAGTTGACAGTTGTTTCATTTAAGGCCCTATCCTCACCCAAAAATTTATTTTTACTTTGGATCATCCAATCTTGATGAAATTTTCAGAGAAGGTGTATCTCGAGCCAGGTACCTCACAGTAAAAATTTCAGCTCGAAATATTGACTCTATCAAGAGTTAGCTTAAGATTAAGGGTCAAAATATAGGTGTCCGTGCGTCCTAAATTTCTCTGCCATTTCAAACGTTAGAAAGCTCGGGTTGCTTTTATAATGTAGCTAAGGTCTGAGGCTACAACATAACAGAGTCCGATTTTTTAATTGTTATGTAGTTCGTTTTTTAAAAAGCTTCTCTGGTAGGATATGGAAAAAGCAGCAGGGTGTACGTTCCAGAACAGTTGACCTTCGCCAGACATTAAACGTGAAATCGAAAAATCTGACTCTGTTAAGTTGTAGCCCAAGACTTTGGCTACACAATAAAACCAACCCGAACTCTCTAATGTTTAAAATGGCGGAGAAATCTGGAACGCACGAAAATATAAAAACGAAAATCCTATTTTGAGAAAAATGCAAAATACATTTTACAAGTGTAATTTAAGACTTTTAATGTAGAAATAGTATTTGTAAATTATCTAAAAGTAATAAAAACATGTTGAACTCATCATGATTGAAGATTTTGTGAGAAAAGTTTATTAACTGATCCATCCAAAGTGACATAAAAAAAGAAATAAGGAAATGATAACTGATTAAAAAATTAATTTTTTTTTCAAAAAACCATAGTGCATTCGACAGTAGACATTTTGCTCTATCTAGCGTACTATAAATCACAAAATCGATAAATTTGATCGAAATTGAGTATTTTGGAGACCGGCTGGAACCTTAAAACTCATCATAAAATTAATAAACTATAATGCATTCGATAGCGGACATTTTGCTCTATCTAGCGCACTATAAATCACAAAATCGAAAAATTTGACCAAAATTGACTTTTTTTGGGTGGGGGTGGGACCTTAAAAAAAACGATTATCAAAGTAATGTTTCTACTCAAGTCGTCATTATGCACAATTAATGTAAACTCGTTTAAGAAAAATTTACTTATTTATAAGAAGTTTTCTCTAAAAAATTTGTCATAATCGATGGAAATCTCGAGATAATTCTTATTTAATTTTATGGATTATCATTGAATGATATTTTTCTTGTTCGCCGTTTCATCTGATGAAGATTTTCAAAATAATTAGTTTATTGAAATAAAAAATGTTCACTTGTGTTTAATGAATTAATTTCTTTATATGATTGTATGATCTCGTTTGATAATCTAGATATAATCCGTCATTCAAAATTATTGAGATCTATTTAATAATACGACATGTTTTTTAGTTCGATTTTGTTTTCTTCACTGGAAAGTCAAATGAATTTATATAATTGTTTCAGCAAAAGTCTCTCTTATTAAACGAGTAAAACTTCTTTTATATTTGAATAAATATCTAGAACGACAAACTTTAGTATTTTATTTCAATGAGAATTCCTAAGCTCGAGTTATTCTTAATGAAATACACAATTAAACTATATGTGTATTTGTATATTGCACAGTACTTGAAAGCATTTAACTAAATACTTTTTGTTTTACCATTTTATTGAGTGTGACAAACTCTTTCGAATGAAATTTGAAGATTCTATATAAAAATTTCTTTTCAAGTCACTTCTAACATATTTTATTGAAATTTCGATCAATTTGACATATTTAAATAATGAGAAGAATTTAATCAAATATTCTATTTTGCTTTTTCGAGATATTGTGAAAAAAAGTCACAACGTCAGTAATTTTAATTCTTTTTCTAATAATTACCACCATTCTTTATATAGTTTTTACATATGTTAAAGCAAGTTGTTGATATACTTACTGGAACAATTCTTTCATTTGATTTAATGATAAGATGTGTAAGTGTAGCTGCATGAAGCAAAATAAATAGTAAAAGATGATCATGATTGTATGTGCCAATGATACGTAGAGTTGTTAAACTAGGTAAATAAGGCCAACAAGTTAATTGAAGTGGAGATGCATCACTATCAATAGCAAGTATTTTAATTAAATTTAATGGAAGAAAATGAAGAATTTTATTAAATTGATGATTCTTTGAAAGTGATAAATTAATATGATAAAAAAAACCTTGTTCAATAATTAACATAGTTAAACGTTGATTAAGATGAGTAAATCCCCAAAGGATATCAGAAGATGATAAATACGAGAAGAGTTCAATTAATACGAGATCTGGTAGATCGTTGAAACATGTTATTAATACCATATATATATATCAATTAGAAATGATTATTTCTGTACTTTTTTCCAAGATATACTCTCTTTTATATATTCATTGACGGACGAATTTTTTTCTTTTTTTTTTTGTTTATGTTAATCATTCAAATAAAGGATAGCAATATATGCCTAATATGATCGTTACCATGGAAACAGTAAACGAATGAACGAATATTTCTTTTTTTTTTTTTTGCGTTCCATTTCATCAGGTGCATTTCACTTTGAAACGGTTATTCAACAGTTAAACAAAAAAAAAATATTTCGAATTCAAATGAATTCTCCAATTTTCAAAAATTATTGTTCTTTATTGTTATTAACGAATAGCTTCTGAAAAAATGGCGTAGCTCTATCTGTAGAGTATGATTTATGTATTTTATAGATCAATCTCAGATTGCCTTACGATATATACATTTATTTGACGGAATACTATGTCGTATGACACTATCGTTATAATATGAGAAAAGTCAAACTGAATATATTCTAGTTAACATGAATTACGAAAGATTTTAATACAAGTAATAGAAAAAAGCTACAAAGAGAACACATAAAAGCTAATCGAAAGATAAAATATTGACCTTTATGAGTATTAAATAAAGACAACAAATATCAATGCGATAAAATATCAAAGATAAGATTAATGAAAAATCACTTGTCTTTCGATCTCGATTAAGGGAGTTAAAAATGAGACACATTTTTAAAGTTGCTTGTCATCAGCAAAGTTAACTACGTATGATGCCTTTTTTTTTTGAAAAGGTCTATATACATTCAACTATGCTGCTACAACTAGCAAAGTAAACACATCATATGTTCAATTTGAAGATTTTATTTTGTATTTAATATTTACGTAAATGATTGACAATTTGCCAGTGTGAATATACAGGAGACGGCTAATGCCAAAGGATCAATAAGAAAAACAGAGTGTTAGAAAAGTCCAGTCGAAGAAAAAAAGAACGTTCGTAAGATTTACATGCGTTTTTTATAGTTCGATGATCTACTCTGTTAAGTTTTATTCAATGATAACTAAATCCGAGTCTTCTGCAACTGTCAAACTAAAACTACAAGTCAGCTATGATAAAACCAATTCAATTGAATAATGTATTACAGTTGCACTTCAGCTTTTTTGTAAAATTGCTGCGGTAGAAATTCGACTGTGGTCTGAAAGATTTAAAACAATCACCGAAGACAAACTCAATCAAATTGATAGTGTTTATAAGCATGCATCAGGATGAAGTATTTAATCTATTTTCTAAGCTTGTGTTATATTGCAACTAGCGATACTAGAAATAATGAGAGAACATCTCCTTTCTTAAAGCAGCTATTTAAGATGATATCTATTGAATAAGTTTACCAAAAAACCATACTACATTGATTTTTTAATTTTCTTACATAAAGTTGCATTAGAGATTTTATGAATCATTGAGTTTACCATGTACATAGTCATATATTAATCAAGAGAATGTAGAGTAGCTATCAAAACTTCTTTTTTTTTTGAGATTTATTGAAACAAAAGTGTTCTTAATAGATGATACATTCCAGTTAAAACTAAAACACAAATCTTTATTCTTGCCTTTTTTTTGCTTAATGTAAAACCTCATAGATAGCAATCTATATAATGACATTCCAAATTAATCTGAAGAGTTTCTTCTTTTATTTTTTATTTTATTATAAATTCATTAATACTTCTTTTTTTTAATTTTAAAATAAAAAAAGTTTATTGTTAATTCTGATTTTATCTTTCATATGTGATTTATAACTCAAATTAATTCAATTTCAAGATTATATTATACTCAGTGATGAAAAAGAGAAAGAGTTTCTTCCTTAGTTTATATTTATTTAATCACACTTTTCTTTTAACAACATAATTAACTTCACATGTGATATTGATCATGAGATTTAGTATTAATTTTAATATGACTATGTAGTGCAATTTTCATTTGAATTATTAATTTTGATAATATGAATGAAA